GGAACTCAGGAAGTCTTCGATGGCTGTGAGGCGAACCTCCTGACATCTGGTTTTCCTGTGTTTTTTGGCACCTTTTGTGAGAAAATCGGCGACCCCCTCACAAAGGAATCCTTCACTACAACGGGGTCGATCATTTTTTCACCAAAGGTGGCAAAACGACCCCCCTTGTTCCTGTGTAACCTGCTGAACCGGAAAAAACAAAAAAGAGGCAGGCGAGACTGTGCCGGGACCCGATCGCCAGGAAGGATCTTGGCGAAGGCGTACTTTGCCACCCGTATGGTGGCAACACACTGACTGCTTTTTGCAGCGCTGAACCTGAAAATATCAGAACCAGAACCAAAAAGACTTGATCCAAGAACACCTGCAAAACCAAGCTGTTCCAACTCCTACATTGGGTTGCAAAAGCCGCGTATGAAACTTGGATTGTCCAAGCCAGCTCAGCTGTTTCCCTCTCCTGGGCTGGTCTTTGATCTGCCAGAAAAATACGACAACATGTAGCTAGCTTGTTCGTGAGGAAACAGCTTGAGACCCAGAACCGTTGAAAGAAAGGAGTGTTTCATTCCAACCAAATACCAGCTAGCCTTCCTCCAGCGGCCATGCAAGTTGCAGGACGGATTTGGAAGACAGCTTTCCTTTTCGGGAAGGTCCGGGGAGTTTCACCGAGCAACATACTGTGGATGGACGAAACCTTGCAGACCCTCAGAAACCATGGAGTGATGAGTCCGCTGAAAATACCAACAAACAATGGCTTCAACCATGGTTTCAAACTGGTGCAGGATTTTGTCCATCCACTTCTCCAGCAATGTAAAAGGCTAGTAGGTAGAACAGACTGGGACTGCGCAGACTCGGGGCACTTCACGACTTCAGTATCATGTATAGTGATGAACATATTCTGAGATGCAAATGAAAGAATATCACTAAAATAATTGCAGGTGGAGTCTTCTGCCCCACTCCCCCCCCCCGACTTCTCCAGATCTCCCCAAATGGCGGCGCTTGAAGTTGATCTTCTCGGTCGGCTTCTCTAAGTATTCCCACCTTGCGATCTTGTCGCCGCCAATCAGCACGCACCCAAAACCCATTGACCGTTGGTTCTAAGATAGCTATCAGGGTTGACAACAGAATGCCCGACAAAGAGAACGCAGCCCAGGGCGTTGCTCACATGGAACTTGCAACCCAAAATCCATGAAGCCCATGAAACTTGAACCTCATATGGGGTGTCAAAATCGGGGTACCCCCAAAAAGTGACCTGAAAAGGGTTCCCTCAAAACCAACATGACATCCCATTGGCCCATGTTTCCACATGCTTGCTGGCTTCCATGCTCGCTGGGGCAATGTGCCAGGGGAAATGACCCCAATTCTTTTCTTGTCTCAGGAAGACGCCAGGCGTGCCCATCACTTTTCTTGGGAGTATGCATCCACCCACCAAAGTTCGCCCCAACCATGTCTGGACATGTCTTCATAGCCCTCCCCAAATGTTTCAGCTTCCATAGGGTCTCAAGGCCGCACCCCCGGTGGAATTCCCTTGAAGAGGGGGGCAAAGCCAAAAAACATCGCAGCCAAAGTGCTCAACCCTCCCAACCCCAATGCAATCCTGCCTGCCCATATGTGCAAAAACTAATGGAATTGAATCTGAACTGGGGACGTCCTTTGGACATCAAAATTTGGTAGGGACATTTGACATGCCAATCAAGAGCCTGTGTTCACACCCTCTAAGGGAGACCCCCCAAAACACTCCCGGCACCAAAAAGACCATTATGTGCCCTTGTTGGAGGTGTCCTTGGGGGGGGCTCTATGATGTCTCCCTCCGGCTTGCTATGGGGGGATGGAAGTTTGGGGTTCCTTGGGGGATCCCCTTCCGATTTCCCAAAACCCCTCTTCCCGAATGAACCAGCAAGATGAGGGTGTCAAAAAGGAGAGTCCCGACAAATGAGGCGGCGCTCCATTTTAACACCCCAAGAAAGGGTACCCAGCCTCACACCAATCCAGTTCAGTGACAGAAAAAGAGTCGTACCCCTTTTCAAGGTCGACCTTTTGTGGGCCTTCCCACTTTAACAGGCAACAACTACCAGGTCCATAACCAGAACTCCGATCGGTAGCTCCAAACGGCCCCGCTCCCTTTCTAACCACCAGCTAGACAAGAAACTCGAGCCAAGGGTCAGCAAACCCTACCTCAACTCCCCGGCTTGGAAGGTACGGAGCTTCTATACCACTTCGCTCCATTTGCGGATACCTCCCCTGGGAAAAAATGAGAAACACAAGTCCAGTCCAGCAGCGATACATTCCCTTTCAACCAACAGGAGAAAAAAAACAATATTCTTAAGCAAAGGGAAGCTTCGTTAAGGAGTACCCTTGCTAAAAGTGACCCAAAAGCCGGAGGAACCGTATGGCCAAGAACTGCCAAGTTGTGCGAGGGGTATACTGCGGTACAAGCAAACGCATCGGTGGCACACAAGCATCCAGAAGTCCCTTGGACGGAGGAGATCCCTGGATTCCGCGTGTTCAACCTTTGATGCAACAAACAGTGGCTTCAACCATGGCTTCGTTTCGTTCGAACCATTTGTTCGTCCATCCACTGGACAGTTAGTCCAAAGTCAAACTCAGGGAATGAGAAGCTACCGTTGCAGAACTCCGATCAGTAGCTCCGGAAAAGGCGCTCTTTTTGAAAGCAGACTTGGAGACCAGCTCCGGACTCGTCCGGCTCCCTTCCAACCATCAAGGAGGGTGCCTTGTCCGGTACAAACGACACCTTTGGGAAAAAATAATGTCGGAGTATTCCAAAGGACCCTATAGTCAGAGGAGCTGAAAATACTCATGTCCTTGCTCAAAGGGATCCAGCCCTGAGTACGGTCCGGATTCCGAGGTTTCTGACCTTGACAACAAACAAACACATACAAAATAATAACCGCGGCGAGTGAGAGGGCGTGATTGGTTACCAAATAACTTTTCTGGCAACATATATGCTCGTTTTAGAAAAGCTTGTTATTTGGTCAACCCTTCCTCGGAATACCAAGCACCAGTCCATTTGTTTACAGGGCTTCCTTGGTCCACAGCTCCCGAGTGGATTGGCAAAAACATGTCCAAACTCTTTACTAAGCTACTACTTTGGTCCAAACTCCAAAGTGCATCTCAAGTCCAACTCGAGTGGATCTCAGATGCGCAGTGGCCATGAGAAAAAAAGGGCATCCTTCTTTGGTTGATTGAATTTAAAGGAGACTCGTTTCCAACCCTAAGAAGAAGGGGGGTGGGTTGTCTACGGAACCATACATCAAAATTTATCCAGGGGTCGGTTTTCTCCTCCCCAAATTCCAGATTTTCTGTACAGCGGGTGGGACATTGACTCGTTTTTTCCAAACATATAACTTGCGAGAATAGATGGCCCTGGTAGTTGATTGAAACGTCAGGCAAACCAGGACCCTCGTTTTTGGAGTCAACACATGGAACCCTGGTAAATGGAACCAAAGACTAAAACCCCTGGAAAGTGAATTTTGACCCACACCCAAATCAACCAAGAAGGACACCTATCTCAGTTGTTCAGCGACCCTGGAAAAAAGGGAACTCTTTTTGGGGAAGACCATTTTTAGTGGGGCAGCCACCAAAAAGAAGGGAACGAGGGTGCCACTGAACAACTTCGCTATGTTCAAAGCGAAAGCCGACGCAGCCCAGGCGCTTCAGCAGCCCCGGGGAGGTCTTCTGCGAGGAAGCGACCACCTCCGCCGCTTTGGGCACCGGCACCGAGGCTTTGGCATCAACGGGCGTGGTGAAGTAGGAGATGAGGTCCTGAGACTGGCTCAACCCCAGACATCCGCCCAGAAATCTGCGATGCATGTGTGCATCCATACATATATATATATATATATGTGTATGGATACATATCATGAATCATGAATGCGAGCGACTCCAGAACCCAGAATTACGCGATTCATGTATATATATATATACATGTCATAAATCATGAATGCGAGCGACTGCCGTCGAAAACCACGAGCCGGAAAACATAGAAATCATACTCTGCAGGTTGTTTCATCCAGAAACCGACAATTCTAGAGGCGTCGCCTTTTCAGGTCCCTTGCTTTGGGTTCGAGGCTCAGGGGAAGAGCTGGGGCAAGTTCCAGCAAACAGCCGGACCAATACCTCCAGTGGGGAACTGTGTGCGAAACCAGGTCCCAACTCATGCAAAACCACGGGCGGACAAAGCAATCGAACTATGCATGCAACAAAGTTTAGCTGGCACTTCCAGATTCACTGCAAAGGTGTATGTAAACATGTGTAGGCAAATGCAACAACAACACACAAAGGCAAAGAAAAAACACATAAACAAACAACTCGATACCCCAACATGAAATGTTGTGCGCACACATGCAATATATAAAGATTATAATACATGTATTAACATATTACAGGTGATGCTTTGCAAATGAGGTCCTGAGGCGCCTAACCACTTGAGTTATAACCCCCCAACGTTAACCCCACTAAGGGGAGTTGTAAGTGGCTTATAAACCCCTTACAAGCTTAAAAGCATCCGCTTAGCTGCAAGCATAAACAGTGCTCGCCATCTTGCCCAAAAGGTTGTTTCTGGCCGTGGCCTTGGCGGCTCGACTGGTTTGAAGCGAATGCTCAGTAGGGAATGTGCCAATGAACCCAGGCCCCGTTCAAACGGGTCATTCCCTCCTTCCCTGCTGAGCACCAGCAAGATTAGGGGATTTGTAGGGAGATTGTTGGCGGCTACATTCAAACACTGGAGAATTGAAGAACTGAACACTCTACGAACTGCAAACGGGCAAGGGCCACCGGCAATGTGCGTGTTTCCCAAAGCGCAAAATGTGTTTGTTGGGGGTGGGTCTTCGGTGTCTGAAGCTCCTGGTTCTGAACCAGTTGCCCAGCTGGAAAAGAGGTATGCAACAGTGATAGATTCCCTTTGACTCCGACAGGGGAAACATATTAAGCATCGAATGATTTAAAAACGAATCTCCTTTTACCACCTCGCAGCACATCTCCGACGAAGAACCGAAGAAATAAATTGGGTTAACCTCGTGGAACCTTAACTCATGGACCAAGGGGAACTAAAAAGGTCCAAAGGTTTAGCCTCCCAATTAACTTGGAACCTGACAGGGGCTCCGCTTAAAGGATGTTCCAAACCAGGGCCCCCCCTGTCAGGTTCCATGTTGATTGGCGGAAGGGAATCCTTAGACAACAGGTCGGTCAAAATATGGACCACTCGATCCTTACTTGGGTGTTCGGCCAAATAAGTTGCTGGTAGCCTTCAGCTCAAAACCCACTTCTAAGTCCCCCGTGAATGTGGCGTCAACCTTGTGAGGGGGTGAACAAAAAAACAAGCAGCTACCCGCTTACCAACTTGGCGAATCAAAGTAGTCTATTTTAAGAGCGCCCCTCTCTACTGTGGGTTGCTTGGGGCTTTGAACACCACAAGAAACTTACCACTCGGTCCAGCCATTTGGTAAGTCGCAAAATAGGGAACCCACCAACATGGCTGATTCCTTTTGGTTTCCCTACAAACCCCCCAAATGGTGCCTGGGGCTTTGAACACAACATCGTTCGCTCGGTCCTTGGTGCCCTTGGCGTTGGGGTCCTTGGGGTCTGTGGACAGCGGCACTCGGAGCACCACCAGCTCCCCGCCTAAGCTCGACTCCCCTGACTCGGGAACCCCGAGCCGACTCCCCCGCGAGGATTTGTGGTTTTCTCCTCTGAGGGACATGGAATTCTGTGGCTCAAATAGAATTCCCCTAATGTCTAATTGGTACATTGTAACGGTCAACATACCACAGCTGTAGGCCTATAGGGATTGTTGGGGTATATGTACCCTGTATAATGAAACCCATGTACAAGCACTATGTTTTGGGGCATGTCCGTCCATTTGGGATATTGATGCAAGTTGGCCATAATAGATATATGGAAAAGAAGACTAACACCTGCGCAATTGACCCCTGCTGCTTAATATTGAGCCATACCCAGCTGGGACTTTTTCCACATTGGGTGGCTCGTGCTGTGTTACCGCTTTGGGAAAACCAACAGGAAACCGTTGCGCGATTGGGGTTTCCGACACCCATGGGAAATGATCAACATGACGGGCTTCCTTTGCGGAGTCCATGTTCTGCTCGACAACCCCCCATGACTTTTTGACAAGCCCCAATTCGCTATTAACACGCTCCCACTAATCTTTGACAAACGACCATGCACAAGGGGGGGGCTTCTATTCCAAATCAAGAAGTGCTTCACATGACTCGCGGACTGGATTGAACACTTCCTGAAGGATGCAACCAGGGTCCCAGCCGTGCTTTTTTTTGACAAACTCCCGTGACTCTTGACAAAAGCGCATGATGGCTTCCTGTAATTGTTGTTTTGGGTGGCTTTTCAAGGGAGTGTCAGGCCGGCGTGCCTGATTTCTAAGGGGAAGCAAAGAAGGACGTATCCGTACCGGGTCTCAAAATGGGGGAACCTCCAAATCGGGTCTCAATGGTTCCCGTTGAACCAACACCAACATGGGTCAAGAAAATACGCACTGTGAGCCTGAGCAACGCGCACGTAGATTCTGTACGTGCAAAACAAACTGTCTGCACATCTTATTTCATGAAACTGACCGAATGCAAAGACGGGGGAGGAAGGGATGGGAAACATTCAGAATAACATTGATAACATGGGAAGGATGTCTGGAGCAATCTGCAAATATATAAGCCAATTCAGCATGATACCTTTTTTTTGGGGGGGACATGGTGTTTTCCTGTTGGTTTCCCTCACAATACCACAAAAATGGGGTACCCAAAAAAGACGCACCCATAGAATGGGTCGAGTGAGGTTTTGGAGGGAACTCTGAATCCTTTTGGGTCAAGGTCTGCCTAAGCACGCCGAGTTTGACACCACTTCCACTCCCAGAGGCTCTGCTACACTTTGAGAATGCTTCACGGGAAAGAAGTCACCCCAAAAAACCACTCATGAGACACAATTGAACGAGCCAGAGCCTCAAGACAAGTCTGTGCAGGTGCCAGGAACAAATACTTACCCGGGTTGATGGCTCAACTATTTGGGTGTCCCTCCTTTTTTTGAGGGTGCCATGTTCGGGGTGGTCTTAACCTCGGCTCGGTCGCGCGGCCTTGCTCGGGGTTACCCGCCACCACCAGCGCAGTTGGGGTCTTCACCTGAAACTCGCTTCCGATCGAAGTTCAGTTTCATCTGGATCACCCAAGGGTAAACATTCTAGATTGACTTCCATTTGGTTGAGCCCCCTGGAAAAGAGTGCAGTAGTGATATCGATTCCCTTTAAAACCAACAGGCGAAAAGAAAAACAGTTGTCTCTTTTCTTTACATATTCATTTCAGAAAATGGAAGTTGATGTCGACGGATTTGTCAATCAGGCCACATTAGACCCCCAGGTGGCCTAGCAGGCTGGACGTTCGGTTTCTCGGGAAACTAACAATTGAGTCACCCAAGCCCCAAAATGGCTTGTCTTAATTTTACAGGGTATCCTTTTAAGGCGGTTGATAAAGAACCAAAGGGACATCACCATAGAAAAACAATCGGATTCCACCCAAGATCAGCTTCGCACATTGCAGACTGCAACGATTTAACCGGCAAACCAACTGGTTGTACTTTTGTCTTCCCTTAAAGCTAAGGCGAATGTGGGTAGCCCAAACAAAAATTGCAAAGACAATGAAGGTTCATGTGGGAGTGTCTCCTTTCAAAAGGAAACCACTTATTTTTGGGGGTTCCCTGAACGAAACGATGACACCCATATGCCGGCCATCTGGTCGTTGAGCCTGCCTCTGGCGCTGGCTGATTATTCTGCTCGAAGGTCCTCCAAGTCCTGCCGAGTTTCAGACTCGCGAGAGTTGCTACAATCACAATGAAGTTATATATCATGGATTCCCCCTTCATTTTTCTTCGGAAGGGCCTTCTTTGAGGGTACCATTGTTGTTTGTTCAACGGAAAATCGAAAGGGAGTTGTTTTTTTGGGGGGGGGTGGGAGGTCCGCTAAAAATGACAAACCCATTCGACGACTGTGCTTGTTGTTTTCTCCCATTGCCCACTTTTGGAGGTTCAAAGCAGAACACCAGCACCAAGTTGAAACCATTTCTTGGATGGTATTTACAAGGGACTCATCATCTTTCCAGGGATTCTGCTTGGTGTGTCAAAGCTCTCTGCGTATCTGGCCCTTGCATTCCACCCACTCCAAACAAGAAACACAGAACGGAAGCGCAAAGCATTGCCAAATCGACCCAAGCATTTGAACCCGCTTTTGGTTGGTTTGATGGGACATCTCTCAATAAGTTCAATAGGAGACGTGTTTTCTGGAGGAAACCCGAACACAGTTGAAGCCCTTCGTTCATCGCCTCCCGATGATGGACCATGAGGGTTTTTCACATTGAACCTACTGGAGACTCTCACTTCCTAAGTGGATTGGCCGACTTTCCAGAAATGGTCAGCACGTTTGGCTTGACACCAAAACGATCGTCCACGAAAGTTAACTCCAGAAGCTGAGCAGACCAAAAGAAACAAAAGGACAGAGAGCAAACTAAAAGTAAACCAAAAGGACAACCTAAACCGAAAATAAATCCAACCACCTCACCAAACCACAGTTCGGCCAACCCCTGTTTAGACTTATTCCAACCACTAACTAGTTTACACTAAACCTCCTTTTGGCTTTTCAAGGGGACCAAAGGCTGGTTTTGGCACACGTTGCAACCAACCAAAAGACTCAAAAAATGTGGTTCCTATGCCGCCTGCATCTTGCATCTAAGTCCCTTGACCTGTTTGAACCGCAATGCCAACGGCAGTAGTCCATGCAACAAGGTGGGGGCAATTCCATTGCAAGCTCACAGCCCCCAGCCCCCCCCCAAGAAAAACGCCTCGAAGCTTCATCCAACATGAAACCTTCACAGCCCCCAAACCCCAAACCCCAAAACCCCATGTTACCTTGAATGCCGTTGACCCCTCCGCGAACAGTTTAACTGTTTGTGGGTCCAATGGAGCATCCAAACTGTTTCAACCAAAAAGGCAAAAAGGTTCAGAGGCCTCGAAAACATGAAACCTGATTAATTCGGAGTCTTACACGCATCAAATGGGTGCCCCAAACCTCAGAATCAGACGGGTATACCCATAAACTCACTTCTTGAGAGGATTGGCCAAGACAAAGTAGCATTCCAAGAAGTGACTAGAGTCCGAAGCGGAACTCAGCTTGCTGGTGGGAATGACCCCTACTATCCATCCAGCTGGTGTTTTGCTTTAAGGGCACCAAAGCCTGGGTTCATTCCCACACTCCGTAATGTTGACCCCAAAATAGTCAACCCCTTGTTATTCATAGCGGGGTCCCCACATCCCCCACATCCCCACACCCCATGTTAAATAAACATCCCCCACATCCCCTAGGGTGGGGGAAACTCCTCCTAAAGTTTCCTTGAACTCAGTTGTCCAGTGACCCTTGAAAAAAAAAGGGGAACCCTGAAAAGAACACCGTTTTGTGGAGGGGCCGCCGCCAAAAAGGGGAAACAAATAAAAAGAATTGGCGAAGCTGAAAAACCGAGCTGAGGGTCCTCGGCAGCTTCAGCTGCCAGCCCTGCTCCGCGCGCGCCGGCTCGCCGAAGCTGAAGCCAGCGGCGGCGACGCCGGCCACCGGGGCCAGGAGGCCCAAACGCCGCGGCACCGTCGGCGCCTCGCGAACGAAGGCTGGCCAAGGGAAGTAGAAGCTGTTTGGTTCCCTGTTCAAAGCTTTTTAAAGCTGTTTAAGCCTGTTTAAACATGTTTTAACCTGCTTAAAAGCTGTTTAGACCTGTTTAAAAGCTGTTTACCACAATGGTCCACGCCCAAAAGTGCCTAAAGTCCTGAACCTCCGGGAGTGAACATAAGCCGCGGTGGTATCCCTTTACAACCCAAACGGCACGGGCTTGCAAAAAAGAACGCGACTCTTTGCAGCCCCCTAAAAGCATGAACAGAGCCCGAAATGCGAAAGAAATGAACAAAAAACAGCCCCCTAAAACATGAACAGAGCCCAAAACACAGAGACTTAAACAAACAACTATTGCCAACAATGTTGAAGATCCCCAACAGAAACCTCCGGTGCTCCCGGAACCCGAGCTGGTTTGGCCAAGCTACTGCAGACATGAGCCTATCGACCCCGAAGCTTTCAGCTGTTCTATTGTTCGGGTACCCCCGTTCGGGGTTTCCAACTTCTTCCTGTTTTTTTTGGGGGAAAGGCCAGGTGCCACCCACCTAGCACAAAAGCACGCGCGCGCTCAAGGTTCATATTTGAACCTCCCAAAAGGTGAGGCAGCCCAAAGTACCCTGATACCTTCCGGGGGTGTATCTCAACCCCTTTCACCCTCTCTCTGAAAAAACAACATGGGTGCTTGGACCCTCCACTCAGTTTCTGAGCGCACTGGCCAACAAAACAATCCAAACTGGTTGTTTGCCACGAAAATGGTCGTCCCAAAAAAGGACTAAAGTCCGAGAAAGGGAACAACTTGGCAGTGGGTCTAAGAACCCCATCTTCCATTTGCTTGACATTGAGTCCCCTGGAAAAAAACATATTTCCAGTAGTGATAGACTGCCTTTCAAACCAACAGGGGGAAATAAACAATCTTCATAAGCAAATGGAAGCCTCGCTGCCCCCCTCCCCCCCGCCCGCCCCATTTTCCACGACGCCTCCTTGGGCGCCAGGAATGCTCGAGGCAGCAACACCGCCAGAAGCAGCAAACAGAGGCATCGCCCCCGCCGCGCCATGGCAAATCGAGAATCTGCCGACGCTCCCAAGGGCCCCCTACAGCGGATGCTAACGGAACCGGAGCGAGCGTACATATCAAGCTCCGATGGAGGACCCCACTCCGCCGTTTTTGCCTCTTCGCCCCCGGAAAAAAATGGACATGTGTAGTGGTGATAAATTCCCTGTAAAACCAACAATTGGGAAAGTATCAACAACTAGTCCAACTAGTCTTTAGCACATGGAAGCACTGGTCAGAACTTCCTAGTTCATCTTAGGAGAAACATGCCTGAGCAGATCCAGATTCCCAAGTTGACAATCACCTGGACCACATTTGAATCATTGAAGGTCTTCCGGAGAAAATGGGGAGCCATCGACCCAGGCACCATGTAGCCATTTTAGCCATCGATGGACTACAGGTGTAAAGTCCGAAACGGAACTCGGGAAGCTTAATCAAACCCTGGCCCTGGTCCAAGAACCACGTACAAATTGAAAAGGCAACCCATGGCTGGGATTGTCCCCTCTCCAATTGCCCAGGTCTTAATTATGACTCAAGTCAGCTTTGCAATCATCTGCATGTTTTGCTGTGCTATAATGCCAAAAGCTGAATTATGGGATCCCCAAGTAAAGGACCTTGATCATGATTTGCGCTCGTTGTACCCCCGGATCGGTAAGCTGGCCGTAAGTTATGCAGAATCATGGCAGCATGTCGATCCGAGGCGATACATTTCACCACTTTGTCTGTTTTCAGAAACCACTTTTTAGGAGCTGTTGTACTTTCCAACCCTTGGTATGTCAGCCAAAATAGGTGTGTCTTGTTGTTTACCCCCCCCCACACTGAAAATGAAGAGAACCACACCTACCTAACAAAACAAAGCAAGCTGCCAGCTCGTCTTCCCGAGCTCGCTAGATATCTCTCCCTGAACCAGGACGCACGGCAACGTACAGGCTAGTGTCGAAAGCCGAATTGGAACAGTTGGCTTTGCCTCAACAATAGGTAGGGACAATCACCCACCCCCCGCAGCCCCCCCCACAAAAAAAGAAGAAGAAGAAGTTAGCTTCCGTTTGACTTTCAAGGAACCAATTGCGCGTTGCAAAATTGGGCACAAACATTTCCCCTTGACCTCTCTTTGACGCAACCCCCAAATAGGGCACCCTCGAAATCAGTGGCACTTGAACCTGGACCCGAGCAACCCATCGACCCCGCCACTTGCCCAGAAAGCTGAACATCCAATGATTGACGAACTGAGGTATTTGGTGTATCGTTGCAACATGCTACACCAGTCACCACATAGCACCTAGGTCCAGGTCCTCCAGTGGAGAGGTTAGAATAAGGGTACCCTTTTTTCTATAAGTCTATTTTAGTAGGGGAACCCTCCCCCAAAAAAGGGGTAAAAGAGCACCACTGGGCGACATAGACTACGAAAAGCAAGAACTACCCCTAAACAGCCATGAACTCCTGCTAAACGAGTGCCGAACCATTTTTCCGGCTGTGGCTCGGGCATCCAAGACAAAAATGATCAAGCAAAGCAACTCTTCTGAGATTCTGATTTCGAGTGCATGTCCCTCAACTTCCTGCTTCCCTGGGCATCCACCAATGCTCCCTGTAGCAGCTGGATGCCATTGAAAGCTATAGTCGGCCTTTCTCGATTTTGACCTCAAATCAAAGTGGTAATCGTCCATTTGCTTTTTCGCGCCCGAAAATTATGTCCAGTAGTGATGAATGAACTCACTCTAAAACCAACAAGGGAAAGTATATATATGTACGTATAAACATATTCTTAGTCAGTTTGGCCCTGGGGATGTAAAATGGGATGTGAACAAGTTGCTAGCACTTACCCGCCAAAAACCTCCTGACACCAAGCATGACGTCCACCAACCAAAGGAACATTTTTCTGCGCTTGCTCTTCTTCCATCCCGCAGACATCTGGGCAAACTACGATAATCCTCAAACCCGAAATGGGCGTGTCGCAAAATAGGGAGCCCTTTTTTGGATGGTGGATTTTTTGGACAAGGTGAATCCCGCTTGGGGGGGCTTATGACTGGGTTACAACCTAGGTTACCAACAACTTACTAACTTGGCTACGTCCTCTAGTGAGAGGTTAGAATAAGGGCACCCTTTTTCCTGTAGTCTATTTTAGTAGGGAACCCTCCCCCAACAAAGAAACGGTAAAGGGCACCCAGCTGGGGGACCTTGGCGAACCAAACGCCCAAGTATGGAACCTTCATGGGGATCGCTTCGGCTCAGCCCAGCATGGCCGCAGCAGACCCGCCGCCCAGTGCGCCAAAGCTGCCGCGCAGGCGATTCGCGGCGTCCCGCGCGGCGTAGCGCACCTGGGCCCCAGCGAGCGCTCGTTGTTTGTTGTTTTTCTCCGGGGGTACTTGGGTGTTCGATTCGCCAAGTACGTAAGTTGTTGGTAGCCTAGGTTCTACCCCACTCATATGTCCTTCGTTCAGCGGGAGATTAGCCTTTTTAGGGGGTGAATAAATAAAAAGAATCCTGGGGGTGAGTTTAGAATGAAAGGAAAACCACCAATAGACCCATATAGAGGTCCCGAGTATCACACCCGCAAGATACCCCGGTGCTTCCAGGCAAGCCGAAAGCATCCTAACAAAAGGTACAAATTCCTCACCTATTTGTAAAAGCACTAGGTTGGGAAACTGAGTCGACTTACCCTCTGGTGGATTTCATCTTGAACACATAGAACTTGAGCCACGATCAACACTTCCTTAGATGGTCTCAATGTTGACTAAGTGGATAGTATGTCTCTCCAAATGCCCTTGGGGATGTCGTTTGGGAATGTTTGTGGAGGTTTGTCTCTGGGGACGCCATGGGGAGTTTGTGTTTGGGTGTGTCTTTGGGGATGTCTGCGAGGATATCTGTGAATAATGATGTTTGGTGGGTCTTTGGGAATGTCTTGTTGGGGAATATCGTTGAGGAATGTCTCGTTGGGCATGTGTTGGGGATGTCCCTGGCGGACCTTTTTGGGATGTCTACTGAGGATGTAATGGCTTTGTAGGGATGTCCTTGGGGATTGACAGAATGTTGTGAGAGAGTTGTTTTTTGAAAGTTGTTCGAGGAAGAGCATCTTTGTGCATGTGTGTGTGTGTGTCAAAACTCAAGACACCAACAAAGTTCAACTTGTGTTTTTTCTAGTTTCCATTTTAAACCAACCCGACCGCCTAGATGTCTTTGGGGAGCGGCGTTCATTCTGACCGGGCTTGCGCGGGCTCGCCTCGGAGGTCTCGTCCGTGGGGCGTTTTTTGGGCCGGGTTTGGGCCTGATGCCGGGGCCAAGCCTGGGTGTTGAATCTTGAACCCAAAAGTTGTACCAACTTCAAAATGCATGGTACTGTGGATGGACGAATTCCTGCACCACCTCAAAAAACCCTGGAACCATGATTCCCCTGTAAATACCAACGAACAGTTATTTCCATGGAAAATACCCTTTTTAGTGCAGGACTGGCATCTGGAAAAAAAACCGAGCATGTGGAGTAGGCGGTACGGTTGGGTGAAACATGGCACAACTCTCCCATGGTTTCACCGCCTTTGCTTGCCGTCAGAAAGGAAGGTTGAACCGGGTTTGCCCTTCGGCCCTTGACGGCCAGTTCTACCTAAAATGTTGGAAAGGCTTGTATGGGTGGCTCGTCCTTGTCTTTGGAGTTGGTGCCCGCTTGTCTGTGGTTTTAAAGGGAAGGCAAAGCCAAAACTGGGGGTCCCCTGAAAAAAAAAAAAAAAAACAATTACGTCATATTTGCCTTACCATAACTTTTGTGACAAGTGGAAGAATCACCTACCAAACCACCATGTCCTTGCAGAGCTCTTGGAAGCTCCTATAATTCCCTCTTCAAAAACAAGTTTGGACACCTCCAACCAAGTTCCCTGCGAACCACCTCCTAGCCAATTGGCAGCGCTCACGTTGAACATCCAAGTGCCTATAGCTTCGCCGAGACGCGCTCCGATCCTTGGTCTCCTGCTGCATCCTGTCCAGAAATTCCAGAGCTTCAGCATCTCCTGGAACTTTCGCCATGCTTCACAGGGGGGCCTCCCAAAATTGTGGATTGGCCGCAAGCTGTGTGTTTACCCCTAAAACGGTCATACCAAAAAGCTTAAAGTCCAGAAACTCAGGGAGTGAGTTTTGAAATTCCTCTAAACCAAACTGGACATGGTATCCCATGGTACTTCATTGCAAACAAACAACAACTAACACACACACACACATCTGCACATGTTACTGCTCCTAACAGATGAACTAAAAACTCGATCCCCAAGTAAAGGACTAAAAACTCGATCCTCAAGTAAAGGACATGCAATCATGTTTAGCTTGATTAACCCCCGAGTCGGTAAGCTCACCATGAAATAAGCTGAGCCGTGGAGAGCTGACGGATTGAATCAACCTGGTAGAGTCATGCTGAAAGGCTCCAAATATCATCCGAATTACCTCTTAAAGAGGGCTCTACCCGGCTCCGGTGTTGTTTTTTGGAAACACATATTTTGAAATCACGCCTGGGGGGTCCCGTTATTCATTTTTGTTACATCACGGGTGGGGGGTCTAGGTGCTGTTGTTTTCTCTAATAATGCCTGGGGGGGTCTGTTCCTTTTTTCTGAAATCACGCCTGGGGGGGTTGGGGTGTGTTGCTTTTTTAAGTCACGCCTGGGGGTCATGTTCTTTTTTTGAAATCCTGCCGGCTCCCGTGATTTTCTTTTTGGAATCACACGTTGTTAAATCATGCCTGGGGGGTCCGCGTGTTTTCTGAAATCACGCCTGGGGGGGGGCCAGTTCTTTTTTTCATCACGCTTGTGGGGGGGGGTTCCGGTTTTTTTGAAATCACGCCTTGGGGGTCCCAGTGTGTGTCTTTTTGAACTCAAATCTGGGGGATTCCGGAGTTGTTCTTAATCCCATATGGGGTCCCGGTGCTTTGTTTTGTTGCATTCATGCCTGTGGGCCGGGGTGTTTCTCTTTTGAATTCACGCCTTGGGGCTCCACCCATTGGACCCACATCAAGTTATTGTGCTGTTTGCTGATGGGTCAACAGCAACCAATAATTTGTCCGAAGGGCTGTGGATTCGAATCAGATCTGTCTCCGACTCAGGGACTACACAACAAATTCCAGGACTTTTCTGGCCATTGCACTGGATCGGAAGTGTAGGAATTAGGGTTTACCCCTGGTGAGCTTGGGGTAGTGTTCTTTGTTGAATTTGCACCAGCCGTGTTGATTTTGAAATTCCTCATGTTGGATTATCATGTTGTTGTTGCTTTCTCACAAACAAAACGAGCAAGCACGTGAGTGAGCGACTGGTGATTCCAAAAAGAAAAAACAAACTCGGTCCCAGTGTGTTTTTTAGAACTCACGCCGAGGGGGGCGGGGTCGTGTTCTTTTCTGAAATCCTGCCGCCCTTGTGTGATGCAAAAAAAGAAAACATTAGGACCCCCAGACGTGATTTCAAAAGGAACAACACCTGGGCCCAGAGGCGTGAATTCAACAAATCCATCCAAAAAGCTTCTACCAAAAAGTTAAAGTCCAAAGATCCAATTAAATCGCCATAAAGAAAAGGGGGCGCTTGCGGAACCATCTTTCTCCGAACTCCTGGCTCCGCCATTCGGCCGATAGCGCGCGGCACCGCCACCCGCACCAGCCTCGCGTGATCTGACGGCTTGTGCTGGCAATGTTACTCACGGGGAACGAACCATGCCGAAAACGGGGGGGAACTTTCCAACCTTTGGTATGGTAGCCAACAGTGAAGTCTACCCAAAAAAAAGAAAGGTGTCTATTCGGATACCTATTCACCTTACCCAGTGGTCCCTTGGTGCGTACCTTCGGATGCTTTGACAGGGGTCAGAAAAGGGTCATTTGGCACAACCTCACAATCGGTACCAAGGGACCCTCTTCAGATTAAGAATATGTTCTCTGCTTTTCTTTGCTGGTTCTCAGTGGGAATGACCCAGGGTGTTGGGAATGGAGTTTCCATAGGGGATGGTGAGTGAGATGGTGTATAGGGGTCATTCCCTCATTCCCTGCTGAAAACCAGCAAGTTTTGTCCACGAAGAGGGTTAGACGAGGTCATACAGTATGGTCCAGTTGCAGGGCCTCTAATTTGTGGGCTTGGATTGGTAAACTTGGGATTTGAACCCTCAGTCCCTCGTAAAACTGCAATGCTACCTTTGCAACACCAATCCAAACCAGCAACACCCAGCAAGGTCTAGCACAAGCAAAATCGACACCAGCCCAAACGAAGCACGAGGTCATATTGAGCGTTTCCTGGGCCGAAAGGTCCTGAAATCATTCTTCACGCCTCCCCTCTCAAAGTCCTTGCTGGCTTCCGGCCGGGAAAATGTATCTGCAACTGCACCTGCCCCAGGGGCGCAATCCACCGTACCAGCAGTTCACGATCCCCAGATTAGAGATGATCTGGACAAGGACTCGAAGTGATACCGAGTCCCCTCCCCATCGTGTTCCTTTGCTGCTTTCGTGAAGAAACACCCCACAACACATAGCTCAAGGTGATAAAAGTATCAACCGCTTGAGTGACATCGCCATGCCCCCGATCTATGCAAGTGCTCCAAACATGGAGCTTGGACATGAGAAAGCTGTGTCTAAGGGTTTTTGTATTACACCCTGGGAATACACCCACTGGGTATTCACCCTCAGACTGTGGGAGACAAAAACCCACTTCTCAGGTGCGCACCCGGGTCCTACTTGACTCCTTTTTGACCCCACTGATTCAGCTCGTCCTCCTTCACTTGTCCCAAATCTGGGGGGGGTGCACAAAACAAAAAGACTGATTCTGATTGTTGATTGTGGACCCTGTCTAGTATGACTAACACATCACAAAGATTTCGGAGAAGTCTGCTGTAGAGATACAATCGTCGACGCAACTTCCTTCAGGCATCTCGGCAAGAGGAAACCGCACCGGTCGAAACCGCCAGCGGTCAAAATAATTGTAAGAGCAAAACCAAGCACACATGGGTGGGTCTGTTTTGAGGGTGCCCATTTGTTGGTGGCGTCAACGGGAAACACGAAACCAGCCACGAAAATGAAGGATGTCAAAGACAAACCATATGCAAGAAAAACAAGAAGAATAACAACAACTAAGGAAACCAGCCCCGGGCCTGGCATCCGAATCGATATCTCCATGAAATCCGTTCATCTGAGTCAGGCAAAATTATGTATATATAATATACATACATGCTTCCCCCCAAAAAAAAGTAAAGGGCATGGAAAAGTTAAAGCTCATCCCCTGGTTGTCGTCGGACGTCGAGAGCTCGTCCCCTAAAATCGTGAGAAATTTAGGGCTCGTCCCCTGGTTTCGTGCGAGACATTTACAGCTCGCCCCCTTCTCGACACTCCCGAGTGGCTCCTAGACAAACTCACGTGCCCAAAGGACCTGGAAATATGACGCTAACCTTTTGGAATCTTGACTATGGACAAGGTCGATCCGCTTTGGTTGCAAGTGAGCAAGCAAGTCACACCATTTTGGTTTCCTCCAGCAAGAGAGTTGCAAGCAATATTTCGACCAAATATCTTGAGGAGTTACAAGTGAGCAAATCACCGCAACTGTCCGATCAAGCCTCAAGCCAAGAGACTCCTCTGGATCGTCCGATAGCTCCGCCACTTTGTGCCAAAGCTCCGTGCCCACAGGTGACACCCGCGCAATGGCATGAATGCCTGAAAGCGGATGAGCAGGAAACAAGGCGAGTTGGTACCGTGGATGGTTGCGAGATCCATGTCGCACCACCTGAGTCACAATCAAAACCTGGTATTAAAATGGTTGACCCAGAACCATGTAAGGAAACACAAAGGCGGCCGCAACTATTTATTGCTGGGATTGTCCCTTACTAACCTTCATCTACCCTGGTTTTGATTGTGGCTCACCTGAGAACTCCTGGTTTCTGATGATGCCACTATAGATACAAACTAACACTTGGTCTCAACCCAACCATGGCTTCAAAGTCATGCGAACGGAGATCGTCCATCACCAGACTTGCTTCTTGGGTCCTTCACATAAGCAATCCACGTGTCTGAGGTGAATTGCCCTAAAAAGCCGAAACAACGAAGGGGATGGCTTGGAGCCACCAAGTCAAGCTGAAATTCCTAAAAATCTGGTCAGCACAAAAGGTGATCTTCCCCGATATGGCACCCCAACAGTCAGAGCAGTCGAGGGCAAGCGTTTCCACGGCTGCGGCTCCTCCCCATGCTTGTCTAGTATTGGTTTTGAAGTGGTTGTGCATTGGTGTCGTGTCCCTTGAGAACCACAAAAGCAGGCACCCTCAAAAAGAAGCTGACAGCATAACCACCGGAACATCTGGATCAACACAGCCACAACAACATGACCTTCCATTTGCCTAAGCCGCCTGGAACAAATGACAAACACGTCCAGTAGTGAAATCGATTCCCGTCAAAACCAGCAAGGCAAAACATCTATATTTCAGCAAATGGAAGTGGCGCAACCACTTTTCACCCCTTGCAACATAACCACACCTCCAGCTGCCACTAAAAACCGGTTTGGACGCCTTGTTTTTGTGGATTTTGTCGCCTCCTCCCCCTGTTACAGCCCTCTTTTCTTCAAATGTTCATCCTTCTCGTTTTCTTCAACGATCACAGGGGTACATCCACACAGAGCAATTTGAAGAAAAAAACGACTCAGCACCTCCAGCACCTCCAGCACCTCCAGCACCTCCAGCACCTCCAGCCCCATCCAAAATTTCCACGCCTGCCAGGCGCACTAAGAAGTGCTCCTCCTCCATGGCCTTTTCGGCCTCGCGAATCGCCTCCTCTGCTTTCGCGGAGTCCTGGCGCCAGAAATTCCACCGAAAACGCCTCTGGCCCTGAAGGGTGTTCTGCACGCTTTTCGAGCCCAACTTGTGGTTGATCTGCCACTTCTTTTTGTGTCCCAAGGAAGGGGGGCCCTTGGTGCCTGAGGATGTGCCAAAGCGGGGTCAATCAGCGGTCATGTGGTACAACCTCAGAGGGTACCAATGGACCCTTGAGGTACAAGGTAGAAATTCCAAGGGCTGCGTCCATTGAAACCACCCAAAACAAACACTCGAGCGGCTGGATACTCCTTGGGCAAATTGTTTGTTTGCTGTTGTTTCTCTGAAGGGCAGGTGGACATGTTAACACGTGCTTCAGGATGTTCGTTGTCTTTTGTTTGGGGGGGGGGGGTGAAGTTGAGATGAAGCCCATGTTCAGTTGGGTATTGCTTGTACGCCCTTGGTGGGGAACAAAGACCAAAGTCATCTTCCATTGGCTTAAGCTCCCTGGAAATAAAAAACAAAACAGTTACAGTAGCAATGGATTCCCCTTAAAACCAGCAAGGGAAAATCAAGCAAACTCTTAAGCACATGGAATTCATCAAAAGTCAGGATATTGGTGAGGGCGCGGGAGTATCTCCCTTGGTTTCCCTGTGAAACCTTCAAACCAACCCCGTTACCCGCCATAGCCCGCAAGCCGTGGACGTTGGCTTCAACGACAAGTGAATAGACCAAATCCGTTCGGCACACTTTGAAGCCACTGAACCCGTTTGTTGGTATACTGGGAAATATCGTATTCCAGACTTTCTTATGCGGTGCAGGATTTCGTCCGTCCACAGTAGCGATCTATTCAAGTTTAAGTTTAAATGAAGGGTTGGCCCTGCGGGGATACCCTTTTGGCCAAACACCTCTTGCCTCTCTGAATTTGGTTGTACAAGGGGGCTACTGTAGGTCACCTAGCAACCAGGGCTAGGTTCATCATCCCATTCATCACCACCCTGTGACTTTTTGCGGTTCCCCTTGTTTGACAAACAAAAGGACCCCCCCTGTTTCGGGGTTCCTCACTTCCTCACGTGGATTTGCCAACAAAAAGCTAAACAAAAGCTGTTTGCCACTAGAATGGTCTTCCCAAAAAGTGTAAAGTTCATGAACTGAGGAAGTGACTTTCCAACCCTTGGTATGGTAGCAAACAACTTTTTTTGGCAGCCCCAAAACATGAACAAAACCAAAACAAACAAACAACTTGCCAACAACAGTGAAGCCTCAGTGACTTACGTTTCCTTTTTGTACATACACACACCACATATATACATGTTACATGTATATATACGCGTACACATACACGGTTGCGACCAGCTTCCCCGCTTTTCACACCGCCCACGTGTTTTGTTTCCGAGAGCCGCGCCGGCTTCGCGTGGGCTTCGCGCCTTCTCCGCTTCTGCGGACAAGCGCCTCAGCTGGTCCCTGCGCAGCTCGGCGGCGTCGGGGTGAGCCGCCAGCCTCGGTGGCTCCCGGCGAAGGCGCGGCTCGAGTCAGACTGGGCTTGCCGTTTTCAGATCCGCTAAAAACGGTGAACTTGCGTAAAATTGAAAATTGAAATCCAACCATTAACCCTAAAAACCTTAAAACCTTAACGGGGGGACCACCAAGGAAATGAAAACTAAACACTAAATTTGAATCTCTAAAAACCTAAAGGGGGGGACCACTAAGGAGATGGTGGGAAAGCCACATCTCCAAGTGCAGATGTGCAAAGAGATGTGGAACAACTCTTCCAGGGAAGCGTCCTTTGCACGGATCCAACCTTGCAGGAAACCGGCCAAAACAAAGCAACAGGTGTTTGATTAGAAGGATGGTTGAGTCAATTGCCCTGTTTCCAGGGGGTGGGGCACAATTTGTTTCCACACCATGGCTTTTGGCGGCTGAGTTCATGTTATTGAGTACACGGCGAAAGATGGCACAATCCCTGGTAGAGGGGAAGTGAGGGAGAAGCCCAAATCAAAATGGGGGGAGGTCAAGGGCTTGCAACCAGTTTGGACGCCAACTTCCAAAGAAAATACGGGCTTCTACTGACGATATCAAGACTCAAAAGAAGAGACGCCAAGGCAATCCTTTCCCAGCAGGAAACATGGTGATGCCAAGGCAGTGTTCGTTCGGTGGCATTCCCGCTACTTCGATGTGCAAGCTACTTGGTACGACGGGCCGCTGGTTTTGAGAAACACCTAACTCTAAAATATAATCCCTCATTTAGAAAAAAAACCTAACTCTAAAATAACATACATCCTGATGAGAAACGCCAAACTCTCAAAAAAAACATCTCATTTTCATAAATCAATACCTCATTTTGAGAAACACCTGACTCTTGAAAATCATACCTCATGTTGAGACACACCTAACTCTCTCAATTCATGCCTCATTTTGAAAAGCACCAAACTCTGAAAAATAATGGCTCGTTTTTGAAAAACGCCTGACTCTGAATGTCAATACATCACGTTGAGAAAAAAACACTAAGTCTTAAACTTAATTCCTCTTGTCGAACAACACGTCACTCTCAACTTTTTTCAGACCTCATGTTGAGAAACACCTAATTCTCAAAGTGCATACCTCATGTTGAGAAGCACGTAATTCTGAACATTTATCTCGCTTTGAGAAACACCTAACTCTCACACTGGTCAGAACTTTTGAGAATATCATACCTCATTTTGAGAAACATCTAACATACATCATCTTGAGAAACACCCAACCCTTAAAATTATGCGAAATCTCGAAATGAGAAACACCTAATCCTTACAATTCATACATCCTTTTGAGAAGCACTGAACTCTTGAGGTTCATGCCTCATTTTGAGAAACATCCAACTCTTAGAATTCATTCCCGTCATCTTCAGAAACACCTGACTCACTCTTCAAACCATACCTCATCTTCAGAAACATCTAACTCTCAAAATTCATACCTCATGTTGAGAAGCACCTAACTCTGAAAATTCATCTCGCTTTGAGACACAGCTAGCTCTCAAAATACATGCCTCATTTGGAGGATGTTGAGAATTCCCCAACTCTTAGACATCGTACCTCATTTTGAGAAACACCATACAAACAAGTTGAACAAAACATAGCCTAAGGGTCCTTGGTACCTTGGACACCCTTTTTGACCCCTTTTTTGGCACATCCGAAGGTACAACTTGGAGCATAGGCGGTCCGTCCTTTTTGTTGCGGCTTGGCACCCTTGAAGTTGGTGGGTGTTAAAGGGAAGCCAAAAGGAAAACCCGCGAATTTGGCAGGTCGCCCAAAACTACAGACATGTCTGCCATGGTCAAAACTCCGATTGCTTCGTCTACAGTCTTGGATCAACTCAACAGGAATCATGAATGGTCCTTACTACCAGGCGGATGACCATCCTGCCAAGCAAAGGACACCAATGTGCATAGGCGTCCTTTGGAAAAAAAAAAGATTGGCCCTGGATAATGGAAAACACCAATCTAAAGCAGCGGAACCCATCTATTCTTCAAATTGCTTAAGTCCACTGGACAAACTCAAAATATGTCCAGTAGTGACATCGATTCGGGGAAAATCATAATAAGTAACATATTCTGAAACGCAAATAGAAGTATATCCAACCAAACTCAGCCCCGTGTGAGTTATAATGAAACCCCGGTATTAAAATGGTCTACCCAGAACCATGCTTCAAGAATTAAGAAGGCGAATATCCGCAGCTATTTATGGCAAGGGGATTGTCGATTGTCCCTTACTAACCTTCATCTATCCCCGGGTTTTGATTGTGGCTCATGTCGTGAATCCCCGTTTGCAGGGATCCCATTTTGCAGGACAGCCAAAATGGAAGTAAACCAAAGTCACGTCGTGAAAGAGCTGCTGACGTCGAAAGGGGAGCAAACAATTAAGTCTTAGCAGTTAAGTGGTTGGGAAATCCAACCACTAAGCCACAAGAAGCAAACAGCGTGTCCAATGTTTCCCAACAACAACCATGGGTATGTTTCGGTGGGCTGGGTGGGTGGGCTGCTGCACAAGGCTCTGCTGTATGGCTCCGGTGCCCTCTTTGGACACAACCCTGGCCAGCTGCGACAGCACCGGCTCCGAACCTGCGAGAGTTCCAAGCCCAACTCGGCGCGGGTGGGTGTCCAGCGTTCCCCTTCGAGGCTCGGAGTGTTTCCCTTTTTGTTGGTGTGAAAGGGAAACCAGAAGGAAAGCCATGTTTTTTTTGGGGTTGGGGGGGTTCCCTAGAAATGTCTCAAGCCAAATCTTGAGATTCCCAATGACGTGTGACGTGTTGAACAAAAAAAGCAAATCGGCTTGTCGAATGAAAAGCAAAAAAAAGAACGGCTTCGGCCACGAGTTCACTCAAGGAGCCCCCGATCACATGCCGAAAACTTGGAACCCCTCAGCCCAACGCGGCGATTCCAAGTTGGGTTTTCCACTGGGCTGTCCGGGCTGTCAGTTCCGGGCTCAAAAGTGACGAACTGTCCTCCATGTCTTCAAGTCCCCAGAAACAAATATATATAATTGTTTCCAGTAGTGGCAAATAAAACGTATTCTTAAGCAAATGGAAGCTTTTGGTGGGTTAAATTCGGAAACCCAACCACCAAACCAACACCTTAAAACCTAAGGAACCGCATGGCTGGGAACCACCAAGCTATCTGGTACGCTTATAAGCCCATGTCTATCCAAGATGAAGCAAGACTTGGGGCTTCGGCCAGGCACGCTAAACTATGTTCGAAGCTTTGCTCCATATTTAGCAAATAGCCTGAAACTGAAATAGTTTGGAGATTCCAGAGTTGCTCTGTGAGAGTTGGTACTTGTTTGGAGGCAATGTAAAAGGGAAAGTAGGGGACATGTCAATTCGGAGTCTATGTCGACACAACTCATATTTACCCGTGTTCAGTGACAGGAAACGTATAACAGGGAACCCTTTTACTACAATTGAGTGCTTCAATGCGGGATCAACCTTCTTAGGGGATTATAAACCCAAGTGGTTAAACACAAACACTAGCTTCGCGAATCGAACATGCATGTAGACGTTCGGTGCCCCAGATATTTGGCCCTTGCTTCGTTCTAAGATTGACCGACTCCAGGACCTTTGGGTATGATTTCCTTCGATATGGATGTGTCTTTCTTCCCATTGGGGGCCAAAAAAATTAGGTCAATCAAAAGAACACCCACCTGTTTGGGGCCGAAAAAAGGCATGCCCCTAACATAGTATGTAGCCGCTCATGTTACTTGCTCTGCTGTTGCAGCCCCCCGTCTTCACCTTCCGGAGCCGAATCCGTGGTAAACGGAAACAGCATCTTCCCCAGGAAACCACAAAGTACTCCACGCTACAGGCTCAATATATACATATATACCTTCAGTTTGCTTAAGCCCTCTGCAAAAAGATGAAAAGAAAAGCACATCCAGTAGTGAAATTGATTCCCTTTAAATCAACGGGGAAATATGAAAATATATTATGTTCAGCAAGCGGAAGTATTCTCTGCGCATTGACATAGTCTTTCAAAGTGGTACTCCTCCGGGAGGTTCCTTTGGTACTGTTTTCAAGCGGCTCCATAGAAACTCTGAACACACACAAGCAGTTTTGTTCGGTCTCAAAACACGGCCCCCCCCAAAAAAATAATAATATAATAATAATGGGTTCGCATTGGTTTGCCTATGTCGTCCAAAACGGACTTCCTTAGATTAAAACACACCCATACGCCTAACTTACTCCAATCGTCATCAATTCAGTGAGTGGCGAGAGTGGAGCGCCCTCCGAACGGGAAACTGGTTGGTATTCCAAGTTGTCTGCAGCTTAACTTTTTTGTTGGGTGCGCTAGCTGTTGGTTGACACGTAAACACCCGCGAATCTCACCAAAACCAGGGCTCCGCCCAACATTCAGATCCACCTGCAACGCTGACATGAACCGCCCAAAGCCCAAAGCCTAACATCTGCTCACACAGGGCTCCCAGTATTTCCCCTGTAAACCCCACTTTGAAAAGGAAAGCCAACTTGCACTGGCAAACACAAGCTGTTTGAACTCACCAAATGGGGGAAATGGAGCTGGCGCCCTGTCGCAAGTTCTTGTCGGTCAATCTTCCAGCCTTCGGCGCTAAACTTCCGCGGAAAGGCGGCAGCCGCCAGCGGCCGGGCGACGAAATGTCGCAGTCCCCCGAAGGCGCAACGCACTATGCGCATCGCGACGGAGAGTTTGCGTATTGACCGCCTCAACTTCGGTTACAAAGGGGGTTGCAACCCTCCTTACTAGGGGTTGGTAGGCTTATAAACTCATTTACAACCCAACAACTTGACACTTAGGTGCACTCATTGCTCCACTCACGGTGGGCAAACGGTGTCAACACATTAAATTTGGGGGCATGCCATGTGCAAGTCTTGAAATGAGCAAGTCACGCCAACATACGCCAACACAAAAATAGGCCGGTGCAGCTATTTGCTGAGTCCCCACGCGCTCCCATGCCCTTTGTTCTTCTCGTATTCCCGTGTGGGTGCTATGTTATGTTATGTTTGCCGATATGCTTCCTTCTGTTTCTTACTTCCTGAGTGGGCTGGCCAATAAAACACGAAACTTGTCCAATCCCGAAAAGTATAAAGTCGGAAGCGGAACTGAAGAAGTGAAACGTTTGCTTCTGATCTTTCTTGACATCCAAAAAGCTGCAACTCCGAGCCAGGCTGGACAATTCTGCGGGGTTCAAATGGATCCAACCACTCCGGATCCTGCCACATGGCCTGAGACTCTAGTCCTTACTGTGGATGGTTGCGCAATCCATTTCGCACTGGTCTTTCTGATTCGACTCCCAAGAAACGCCGTGCTTTTTTTGCAAATTTCCCATGGTTTCAACTTGTGCAGGATACCCTGATTGTTGATTATTTCTCTGTTAATACCAAGAAACGTGTTGGTTTCACCCGTGTTTTTATTTCGTGGTGCGAGAAGCGGATGTCGCAGTCTCTGAGATGTTTCTGGTTGAGGCATTACGAAACTTGCCCATGCGAAGAGGCCAACTGCCCCAGTAACCCCAAGCTTCCATCAGTTGGGGAAAAGCACTTGGCCAGTGCCCAAAGGGTCCCTTGAACCTTCTGGCAATGCACCGAGGTGTCAAAAAGGGGTCCATTGGTACAACCTCACAAGGTACCAAGGCACCTTGCGGAAAAGAAACAGAACGTGGACTCCTTTTTCGGAAGCCGTTTTTTGGTTGTTTTTTAATGATTCTCGGTGAAACCCCGAAAATGGTGCCAAGAACTATCAGTGGGAATCGCTTGAGACTGCGCAGCTGGTGGCTGCTTTTCCAGGCGCATCAATGGCTCTGGCGGCGCTGCGTGCGAAGCTCCACGGCAGGCGGATCCATGAGGGCGGGGGGCTGTGGTCGAGGGGGCATACCTGGACTGAAGGCTCTTGGGGCCTTAAGGAACCTTACTGTTGACCCCAGAAAAAAGGCTCCCTCCAAAATTTAATGAATTGCAAAAGGAGGACACCGGGCGGGGGCTGTGGTCGAGGGGGCATACCTGGACTGAAGGCTCTTGGGGCCTTAAGGAACCTTACTGTTGACCCCAGAAAAAAGGCTCCCTCCAAAATTTAATGAATTGCAAAAGGAGGACACCGGGCGGGGGCTGTGGTCGAGGGGGCATACCTGGACTGAAGGCTCTTGGGGCCTTAAGGAACCTTACTGTTGACCCCAGAAAAAAGGCTCCCTCCAAAATTTAATGAATTGCAAAAGGAGGACACCGGGCGGGGGGCTGTGGTCGAGGGGGCATACCTGGACTGAAGGCTCTTGGGGCCTTAAGGAACCTTACTGTTGACCCCAGAAAAAAGGCTCCCTCCAAAATTTAATGAATTGCAAAAGGAGGACACCGGGCGGGGGCTGTGGTCGAGGGGGCATACCTGGACTGAAGGCTCTTGGGGCCTTAAGGAACCTTACTGTTGACCCCAGAAAAAAGGCTCCCTCCAAAATTTAATGAATTGCAAAAGGAGGACACCGGGCGGGGGCTGTGGTCGAGGGGGCATACCTGGACTGAATTAGGACCCCAGAAATACCTGGACTGAAGGCTCTTGGGGCCTTAAGGAACCTTACTGTTGACCCCAGAAAAAAGGCTCCCTCCAAAATTTAATGAATTGCAAAAGGAGGACACCGGGCGGGGGCTGTGGTCGAGGGGGCATACCTGGACTGAAGGCTCTTGGGGCCTTAAGGAACCTTACTGTTGACCCCAGAAAAAAGGCTCCCTCCAAAATTTAATGAATTGCAAAAGGAGGACACCGGGCGGGGGCTGTGGTCGAGGGGGCATACCTGGACTGAAGGCTCTTGGGGCCTTAAGAACCTTTCTGTTGACCCCAGAAAAAAGGCTCCCTCCAAAATTTAATGAATTGCAAAGGAGGACACCGGGCGGGGCTGTGGTCGAGGGGCATACCTGGACTGAAGGCTCTTGGGGCCTTAAGGAACCTTACTGTTGACCCCAGAAAAAAGGCTCCCTCCAAAATTTAATGAATTGCAAAAGGAGGACACCGGGCGGGGGCTGTGGTCGAGGGGGCATACCTGGACTGAAGGCTCTTGGGGCCTTAAGGAACCTTCCTGTTGACCCCAGAAAAAAGGCTCCCTCCAAAATTTAATGAATTGCAAAAGGAGGACACCGGGCGGGGGCTGTGGTCGAGGGGGCATACCTGGACTGAAGGCTCTTGGGGCCTTAAGGAACCTTACTGTTGACCCCAGAAAAAAGACTCCCTCCAAAATTTAATGAATTGCAAAAGGAGGACACCGCCCTATCAATCAACCAGACCTTTAGCAACATCCGGGGCTGTCAAATGGATTCTCAAGCTGAGAACCTTTCTGGCGGCCCGATGCTGACACACAAAACCCCCCCGAAGCCTAAAACAGCCTCAACCTGCCGAAAGCCTCCGGAACCCCCCGGACCCTCCCTGAACTCTGCCCCAAACCAACGCGCCTCTCTGACGGGAGACACTGTATCCTTCAGTCCGGAGTCCGGGAATTCATAAAAGAGAAATCGTTGTCATTGTTACAACTATTAACAATGGGTCAAAAGTAAAACCACCAGGGAACCGCAGACTTAAGTCCATGTGTCCATTTACCAGGGTTCGATTTTGGGTACCTATGTTCGACCCACCCTCGTATTCTTAGTGTTATTTTTTAAGGGTCCCCGGGTCCAGGTTTGGGGTGTCCAGTCAATGCGTCGAATGGCTCAACCGGAGTCAGGGGCAAAAAGAAAGGTCTAGCTCAGAAAGCGCTCCCCCTTTCAACATATTCTTTCACGCCAACAAAGGAACTTGTTCACACACATTCCGAGTTCCGCAAAAACATGTGGCGCAAGTCTATCTCCGAGCAACGGAACTTGCACATCCACAGCACGGCGGAGGCCGCTAGTAGGGCAACCTTGGAGCGTGGGGACTGCGTTCAATTCTTCACGCAACAAGTTTTCCAGAGCCATGTCCCATGGTTGTCAGGGGCCCCCCAACCCCCAAACAAGGAACCCGCCAGCCCCTAGATGAGTCGCTATTAGCCCGTAATTGGGATGGGGGGGCCCCAATTGGGGGCTCTTGACAGCCATAAAGAACAGCCAACTTTCGTTACGGAAGCTACGGCACCACGTCTCGGGGGGGTGGGGGGTGTCAAATCCGCCGACCCTCTGCCTCCCGTCCCAGCCTCCTGCAGAGGGGACCGGCGTGGGATGCAACTGGAAGTGATTGTGAATCAATGATAGTCCCCTGGGGGACACGCCCGAACCCACAAAAAGTGGATTCCCAGGACCGGTCCCGGGACCGGTCCTGGGCCAGTCCTGGGACCAGTCCTGGGACCGGTCCTGGGACTGGTCCTGGGACCCTGGTTCTGCTGTTTTAGATTACTTGTAGTCAGCCAAAACCGGTCCTGGCACTGGTCCCGGGACCGGTCCCGGGACCAGTCCCAGGACCGGTCCTGGACCAGTCCTGGACCAGTCCCAGGACCGGGGTTTGGTCCTGGGACTGGCCCAGGACCTCCCAGGACCAGTCCCAGGACCGGCGGTTTGGTCCTGGGACTGGTTTCAGTGCTGGTATTGGGTCCCAATTCAATGCCACCTCAAACCGCTCCAGACACCTTTCCGGACTGGCATCCAGGACACTGGACAGGGTCCCAGATCGTCACTCCCTGCGACCAAACCGGCCCGTGCGGTTATTGACGTCCTTGTGGTAGTAGAGGATCCCTGGATCTATTCTGCAAGAGAGTCCAATACGTCAAGTCAAACCGCGCCAGACTGGGACCAGCCTGCTGCCGGCGACCGGTCCAGGGCAACTTCGGGAGGGCCAGTTTCAGGGCGACCCCGGGAGAGGCGACTGCTCCCGGCCAACTCGAAGTGACTTGGGCGCAAGCCGGCCCAAGTGGTAATTAACGGACTAGCTGCCCTATTTCTGACTTTTCCGTTAATCCTTGTTTGTGGTCAACTTCGGGAGGGCCAGTTTCAGGGCGACCCCGGGAGAGGCGACTGCTCCCGGGCCAACTCGAAGTGACTTGGGCGCAAGCCGGCCCAAGCGGTAATTAACGGACTAGCTGCCCTATTTCTGACTTTTCCGTTAATCCTTGTTTGTGGTCGTAGAGGATCTTATAAGTGGTCCCTGGGTTTGCGGACGTGTTTCAGGACCGGTCCTTGTGACTTTTCCCTTAATGCGCCGAGGGTCGGCGGCAGCAGGCGGGAGCCTGGTTAATAAATCCATCTTTCTTGAGTCTAAACGAAAATTAACCCACCCCTTTAGCCCATGTGCTGTTGTCTTTGCTATTGTTTACAACCGACAAAAACCTGTTGTCCCTATTTGGCATTCAAGAGATGTCAGGCACCCCCAGTACTCTAAACATGGAATCTAAAAACCAGCTGAAGGTTCCAACTGTTCAAGTTTTGCATAGCCCAGTTATTCCGCTTCCCTGTGTAGGTCACCAGGGGACCACCCTTGAAAAACCAAAAGGAAGATGGCGGAGGGGTACCTACTATAGTGGTAACTTGGATCCACTGGGTAGGGTTGGCCGACATTCAAAGAAAAGCTGACCGGACTTGCCGGTGGCTGAAAGGTACAATGATGGAACACCAATACTCAGGAAAACAATCAGAAGCCTAAGCGCCCCTGGCTGATTATGAACCAATCAAGTCCACCCAAAAAGGACGCTTATGATCAGACAAGTTAGGCTCAGTCTGGCAATGTCAAACGTACCCAAGTGGAAGGATGCACACCAGATTTGTTCCTCCAAAGGCCTACATGTTTACACATTTCGTTAAGCACATCTTGTTCCACAACATGGCACACATTTAGCCAACATATGCCTTGGGCCTGTCTCTCTTTTTGGCTTCGTGTATCATTGACGCACATCTCCCAAACCTGGGTGGATGTTGTTGGGATTTTAGCCTGCCACCCGCCTCATGTGGATCCAAATCCGAGGCTAAGGCCCCAAGGAAGAGGCAGATTCTCAGCAGCACTGCTGGGGTCTCGCTGGCCATTTCCACCTGAGTCGCTCCCGAGTGGGTCGTTTGGGCGCCGCTGGCTCGGACCCGAAGCATTGGCCGAGGGCCGTTGGCTAGGTGCTTTTGTTTGCTTTGCCATTCTGAACCCAGGGATGCCGTCTCTATCTGTCTTTAGAAGCGACCAAACATGGTCTTCCAGAGATAGAATAGAGTACGCCGTCTTTCCAAAAATATAAGCCAACATGGGTTTCCCGATTTGGCCAGTCAACGCGATATTGAAAGACAGCGAAGGATCATCTTTATATATCCTAGAACTTCTTTAATTAATAACAATTTCCCAACATTGTCCTTAAACAGAAACCAAAACGAATTGTTGGAAAAAACAACGTTTACTTACCAAGAAAACATGTGAATTTTGGTTCGACCTCTGCAAACTTACGTTGTTTGGGGGTGTGCCGCGTCCATGTACACCCACCCACCCACCCACCCCCCACCCGCCCGCCCGCCCGCCCGCCCGCCCGCCCACCCGCCCACTCACCCACCCACCCACCCACCCACCCATCCACCCATCCACCCACCCACCCACCCACCCACCCACCCACCCACCCACCCACCCACCCACCCACCCACCCCCGCCTTCGGATCTTCTTGTTCTCCCTGACCAACGCAATAGTCCCAGGTGTTGCGGCAGCCGCTCTCCACCTTTCCGAGAATATGGGCGGCGGGGCTCGTGTTTGTTTGAGGCTATGGGAAGCTCACCCTAAATTGGCCAAAGAGGTGGAAAACAAGACACCAATCGAGAAGCAAAAAAAACCAAAACTGGGATGTTCTTTGTTTGTTGTTCACAAAAACATTCCCTTTTTGGGGTGATACAAGTCAAGACCAACCCAGAGGCCGTACCAAAAAAGGGGGTCCAACAAGGGGGGCATTTGGTACTGCTTCAGCTTGAGTGGACTGGCAAGAAAGAGTGCTTCTCTCCACACTGTTTGTGTCAGCCACTAAACAAAGCCACCAAATCCAAAAAATAACCACCAATCCATGCAAAAAAAACACCCCTCAGGTTGCATATCCGTAGTGCTGACCCCAAAACCCCATCCCACGCCGGTCGGTGCCCAAGGCCGGAGCAGCTCGCTGATCAAAACTTTTGCCTAGGTCCTCCAGTAGAGAGATTGCAACAAGTTGGTACCTTTTTTTTGTTGTTTCTTTCTTTTTTGATTGTTTTTGGTGTCCCATTTGTTTTTTGTTTTTTCGGTAGTCTATGTCTATTTTAGTAGGGGAACTCCTCCCCCAAAAAAGAAACGGTAAAAGGGCACCCAGCCGGGGGACCTAATTGATTCATTTGCCGCGAAACCAAAAAACTGGCGCTTTTGAGCCTTTTAAACGCCCTCCGGGTGGGAAGGGAAAACCAATGGGTTTCGGGGACTCTCGACAGGAAGCCACAAGTTGGAGGCTTTCTTTCGCGGTTCCATTTCTCATTCCCTGCTCGCACCAGCAAATAAAAAATGGTCCCAAAGCTTAAAGTCCAACTCTAGTGAGGTTTGGGGACAATCCCATGGTTGTATTCAACCTTTCCTTTCGGTGTCCTTTCAACCCCCCCAAAGAAATAAGTTCCCTTAAAACGGACAGAACCAAATTGCCTCCCTATCCGCAAACCTCACCGCCCATCCAAGTAGAGCTATTTGCGTGTCCTTTTTTCAGGAAACGCCACGCCAACAAATGTGATGAAGTTCCTTTTGGTTTCCCTTTTCACCACCAAAAAAGGCCACCCTAAAAGACGAGCCACTCCTTTCTCGTTTACCATGACTCCGTGGAAGACCCTAATCAGAGCATGTGATGAAAACAACATGCTTGGAAGGAAGGCGCTTCGCGGGATGCGCGTGGGAAGGAATCGCCCTTTTTCTCGGCATGTCTCGCGAAATCGGGCTTCAAAGAACTGGGTCATGGACAAAAACAATGATACATCACCATTGGCATGTGTGGAAAGTAAGAATGACTCCTCACGATAGCAAAAAAAACCCGTGGATCCCAGGCAAGCCTTTCTAGTAGGTACCCCTTCGCGATTTTCCTTTTGGTATCTTGATTTCGGGTGGCAAAGCCTGACAAAAATCCCTTTAAAACCACAGAAGGAAAATCAAACATATGATTTTCGGCAAATGGAGGTAGTTGTTGTTCCCGGGTGGTTCCCGTTGCCTGCAAGGTCAATGGATCCACTTTGGAAGAACGTCTTTGGATACCAAAGGAACCCTAAACGGATTTCCTGCTGGTCTAGAAAGCGGTTTGGATTTGCGGTGTTTGTGCATCCACCCCTGTTGGATATACGAAGAGTACTAAAACATCCCTAAGAAAGGGACCAAAAATCCACAAAAACGCGGCAAACCCAAAGCCCTTTCTAGAGCTGGTGAGTTTCAAGTAGCCCAAGCCGTTCAACCCCTGGGTTCTTTTTGGGCTCCTCCGATTCTTGAAACTCGCTCGAGCACCTGGCACCAGCCGTAGCTTCCACTTTCCCCGCACCCGTGCCAGCGCAGGCAGTCGTTCCTCAGCTGGTTTCCAAGTCCTCTCCGCCAGGTCCAGTTGGAACTCTTCTGGGATGGGTGTGTAGTTTTTGTGGCGGGGAACCACTTTTGGGCGTGTGTTCAAAGGAAACGAAAGGGAGAACCACAGTTTATTGTTTGTTTTTGATCTGTTCTTTTAGATGTTTTTCATTTTTGGGGGTGGGGGGCTGCAATTTCTAGACAATCACATTATATTTTTGTTGGTTTACCAGTAGGTAACCCTTCGCCATGATCTGTTCTGCTTTTTAAAAGGTGGCTCCCTTAGCTAAAATGAATCTAGCAAACTCACTTAGAAGAGCGGATTCCAAAACTTCTCGGACAAGCCCATATAGTGGATAGCCCTTCTCCATGTTCTATCTAAGTTGTTTGAAGGGCGCTCTCGTTTACCTGCAGGGAAACGGAATCATTGGGCTTACAAGTACAGGTGCCAACGATTTGGCGAACTCCCAGTCAGCTAGAGAGACCGAAACTAGACGCGCATGTCCAGGGACTGGTGTCGCGGTGTTCGATGCTGGTAGCAGGGACGAACATCATACGGAGCGAGTGGTTAGCATTTGTGTATGAAGTCGCGCCTAGGGTCGATTTTGGCAAACAGACCTTGGAAAAGCTTCTTAATCAAGGTCCCTGACCGCTTGCGGTGATGGTCCCGAGTGGAATTGCCAGAAAAAGATAACCAAACCATAATTGAAAATAACAAGATCCAAGCCCAAAAAGTGACGAAAGTGAAGAACGGAACTCAGGAAATGAGAAGGTTTGGCATGCTGGACCATGCCAAACTTTAGCTCCTACCACAAAGTCAGAGCAGATTCCAGTCTCAAGACCTGTCGCTTCCTGAGAGTCAGAGAAAGTCAACGTTTGCCACTCCAGGTGCGTCTGTTTCTAGCTAGAAGGACCGACCCAACACACAATGGCTTCGGATTTCCTTTAGGGTTCATGTTTTTCTTGACCCGCCGTGCACCATTCCAGAAACGCAGTCTAAAACTCTTCGCGGCAAAGCTCAAAGCCTCAAACCGAGAGGAAACGAAACAACACCTGCAGGGCGTTTGGGCTCCACCAAGCGCGTTTGGCCCCGGATCTCGCCGCTTCAAAATCACGCAACGGTCTGCAAACCATAGGTGTCCGTTTTGGGAAAATAGATGGCCCTGGTAGTTGATTGAACCACCAGGTAAACCAGAGCCCTCTATTGTTCAACCAAATCAACCAAAAAGGACACCTATGTCTGCAGCCTTTCTGCATCTTAGCCTATCTGAGGTTAGTCTACCACCTGCACACCTCAGTCTCCAGCTCACACCATGCAGGTTGACAGGAGACACCGTGTCTCCTCCAAACCGCCATATATGTATCCACTATGACTTGTACAGACTCAACAAAACAACACCCCGCTAAAAGTACATCTGCAAGTAAACCCATCCCTGTTTTCCCACTTGTACCCCTTTGTTTTTCTAGCCTACAGTACTTGCTCCAATGGTTCATCTCCCCAGCCTCCAATCAAGCAACAACCAGCCCCCTGAACCAGCTCTTTAAACAAAAAGTCAGCCCTTGTTAACCAGACACATATGGCTGTGGGTCAAAACCCTGTACCCTGGTGAACATCAAAATAGGTGGCAAATGGACATTCATCCACCCCAATATGGAGCCATAAGTTATGCCCCATGGCCATATCTCATCCCAAGAAAACAACACAAACCGAACCGCAAAGACTCAGACCCGCACACGGGCCGCTTTGGAGATTTTGTCCGAGCGACTGCAAGAGCCCCGTGCAACGCTTCCATTGCCGCTTGCACCTGGGGACCGACCAGGGGTTGGTGCCCCACTTAGGTTGCCAAGCGGGAATAGATCCACAACACTTGGCGCGTGTCGCGTTGATGTTGGACTGGTGTGGGTTGATGGACTTATGATTGCAAGTTGGCCATGCTATTCTGTCACGTCTGTTATAATGTATATGTATGGAAAAATGTAACAAAACCACGGGGGGTGCATATATATATATATATGTATATATATATATATATATAATATGTGTATCGTGGTTGTGTCACTTGCAGCCAACGCTATAACGCTGATATATAATGTATCCGATTCCTACTGCAGGAAGCTAATATGGGTTCTACAAGGAAACTTGCCCATTTGTCGTTTCCCAGATGCCACAAACACTCCTTCGTCAACATGGCCAATTTATACGTGCAATCTCAAGGATGCAAAACCATTAGTCATTGTCTCAAGGCTTGTGCATGACCCTCCTACCTATCATGGAACCTCACAAAAGAGCCCCCCCTGCTTAAAGCAATCCTCCTCTCAAAGGGTTGCGGCGGAAAAACCATGTTGGGTCAGGCGAATCCTTGCTGTGGACATGCCAGATACTCCCTGGCAATACACGATGGGCACCTTGCACGCATATCCTCCAGATCCCCAGATGACACATATGTCATGGTTTCTGGCAATTCTGGCCATAAAAGATGGCATACTCCCCCACCCACGAAATGGGGGAACGTGTCAAATCAACGCGAAACAAACGGCCATCATCAAAGGTTGTTAAACAAGAATTAAATAAGGCTTACCCTCCCACCAACTAACATGGAAGTGCAAAAAGGCCCGTTCCCAGAGGAAAGTAGTCTTTTTAAAGGGGTCGGTGCACTTCCATGTTAGCTGGTGGGAGGGATACTATTTTGGGGTTTGGTCTGGGGGCCAGTGGGGGAAGTCTTCTCATCACTTGCCTGGCAATGAAGCTAGGAGTCCAAATGTCTAGCGGCTTTGGGAACCTCGGGATGGGTTCCACGTCATGTGCCCCAAAAACATGGATTTATGGTACCACTCACTTCGCATCATCAAGTGGATTGGCCTGAACAAAACCAAAAAAAACATGTCCCACTAACTTGGTTCAAAACCAAAGATAAATTAAAGTCTGAAACTGAACTCATGGAGCTAATTAGGCCTTCAGCCGTCATCCCGGTTGTGTAGAACAAGCACTCTCGGTCCGGTGCTCATTTAAATTTGGGATCAACAACTATCCGCAGCATAAATAAATTCCCTTTAGTTTCAGCCAGTAAAACCACTGCAAAAGTGGTACCCGCAAAAAAAGACCACATGAACTATCGCCAAAACTAAAAGGTGAAACCATGGAATATAATATCTCTGGAGGCTGCGTTTGAAAGGGTCGCCGTTTTACAGGGTTTTAGCCCCTATTGCACCCCCATACCTTTCCTTGAGGCGGAGTATTTTGGGGATCCCTCACATCCTGATAGCGTCCAAACAAGCCAGGGCATGCCGATTTATGAAGCCTCTTCACCGGCAGAACCATTTTTTGGGGGATTTGCGCAGCACCGCCTCAATTTCAAACTGGCCCTAACCCACAGAAGATCCCTCTGCACATGTTTTTTGCTTCCGTGGTAATCTATAGGGGAATAAGCCCCTCAGCAACCTGCAGGCAGCGGGGGACCCGGGGTACACATAGTAGCCTGTCAGCTAACTTAGCTCTGGGAAATTGGCAGTCTGGCAAGAATGTTGGAGGAACGTGCAAATTTTAGGTGTGGGTCTGTAACAGTCCCACACAAACGTCGCCCACAACCGCAGGAAACTGACTTCAAACTGGCCCCATTATTTTACAACTATCAAGTCACTCCCTAGGTCAAAGGTAAACACCGCGAGTGTCTGACTTTGAAGGCACAAGGAGTCAACATGATGACCCCAAGGGGCCCAGGATTTGTGCTGATCCAAAGCCCCGAGAGGCTGGACGCTGCAATGATTCGTCCTGAAAGAAGAAGTGGATCCCCAAGCAAAGGGCATGCAGCGAAAAACCCGCACAGAGTCTGCAGGCAACATGGGGGGGCGTTCGTTTTGGTATCCCTTTGAACCAACCTGGTGAGAGTCTAGTGCCATTGAACAAACATGCACGCACACAGACTGATACATGAGTATCGGTCTAAATGATCACTAGCCTATGTGATTCTAGCATAGGTGGGTCAGCAAACGTTGCAAAAGAACCGAACCACACCCTTGAGCTTCCCTTTTTTTGGTAACCTTTCCAACGGGTTGGTGTGGGATAACTCGCTGCGCCTGCAGCCCATCGAGGTCTGGAATGGCTGGCAAGGCTCGCCTGCCCGCGTTCCAGGTGCGCTTCCGGCGATGCGCGTCGCAAAAAAAAGAAGTGGGAACCGCCCAAAGTAATTAACGGGTGCTAGTTTGGCAGAAACACACATGGGGTTCATATCTTTTGTCCGGATGGAAACAAACTTCTCAAGTCTTAAGTGAGGAACCCATCAAACATAATTGGAGTTGCAGAGTACGCTCGAACAAAGGCAAAGCACCCCTGTGCATATGATGGCACATGGCTCAACAACCCGCACTGAATGGGCTAGAACGGTCACAGCAGTTCATTCCCTCCCACAAGCCGGTAAGCCCATTGGTATCCCCAATGGCGCCAGAAGCGAATCCCTGGAAGCTGCCCCACCCGATAGTTAGCTGGAGAAAATTCGACCTGTTTGGCTTTGGGGACCTGTCATTTGCACATACTTGAACAGTTATCTGTGCGCGGGGAAACTGACATTGTCCAAACCAAAGTTAGACAGTTAGAGGTTGAACCTAAGAGCAACCATTGATCCCAACTGGCTAGAACCCATGTAGGGTACAACGTTCGCTGATGCTTTGATGAATTGCATGCTCATAAGCAGCATGTCCCACAGCGGACACAACTAAACCACCTCTGGGCTGCTCCCAGATCCCTGCCAACAGTTTAAGTTTTAGTGGTTTAGTCGCACGCTCGGTCCGGTTGCCCCAACAGCCCGCTATGTGCAGCTGGAGACATCTCATGAAGTGAAACCAACGCCGACCAAAATGAAAAAGGTGAGCCCCACTCCTCTAGCCCTATATATTTCGACCAGACTGAGACATGCTGCAAAAGTTAAACTGTTTGCACCCCGCATCACGAAGGTTCGTTGCAGAGCTGGTGGTCAGACCACTTACACGTTTTGCCGTTTGAACTCGCTTCCTGAGTGGATTGGCCACAAAAAGGCCCATGAACTCAAAAGGTGAGGCAAGAAACATATGCCGAGGTGGTACTAACAGCAAATTGCGGAGCCTTTCCAGAACAAGAGCCGCTCCGGTGCTTCTCTGGGGATTCCAAGCCCACAAATGGAGTCAGCAGTCGGCGACATCGGGAAAAACCAGAAAAGCAAAAAGTGAAAATGGAATCTGGAAATACTACTGTACGCGTAAACCTGAGCAAGAAAGAAAGTACCCTGCCACAACTGTTGGGGTATTGCCAACCTAGATCCCCTTTCTAACGGGGAAAGCAGCGAACCAGGGGGGGAGGCCTGGACACAAACATGCTTGGGTGAACCCCAAAAGGCTTGCTGATGTTCATACCCCTCTTCCTTGAAAGGCGTATAGTGTAATACTATGCAGATACATATATGTACCCTTTCCAAACAAGGTTGGAACGGGAAGCCAAGCTGCTCTGCCAACTCAGTATTGTGTATCATGCAAATCCGCTTTGCCAAGAGCTGCCTTCAAGATCGATGCGTGGTTTCAATCGCTCTCAATTGAAAGCCTACCAGCGTTACTGCAGCCCGTCTCCCCATATGAACGCCGATGCTGAAGTGCAGTGCAGCTGCAAGAGAAAGTACTGCTGCGTGGATTAGTGAGCGAAACTCTGCGCAAGTTGCACCAAGCAAGGATGGCATGATTACAGCATATCAGCGATGCCGTGTAATACATGGACTGACCACAAGGCAACATATTGATATGCAAGGTGTACATGCACTGCCTACGCGGATTTCTATGAATCGGTAGAGATGCCGCCGGACATGCGCTGCACGGATCCGCCAGCAATTTTCACTCCGGGTGGGGGGAGGCTTGGCAAAAACATACATGCTTAAGGTCGCAGCGCTAATGGTGTCTTGGCTGCAATGCAATGCTGTTGTGGAATCGTCCTCGCACATGGCTGTGACAGGTTCCCAAAATAGGAACCCATCTGAGCACCATTTCAGGACCCCTTCCAACACATGCTAGGACTTTTTGGGGACCTAACTGGCACCTGTTTTGGGAGCTGTGGATTTCAAACATCTCACCACCTCTTTAGTGGCTAATTCCAGTGAAGACGTCCCTAACAACGGATACATTCGGATCGGTCTTCTGACTGTTTCCGGAGTTGAGAAGTCGAACGTCACAAGGTCACCCCTTTTCTTGAGCTTCTGTTTGAATGCCCCTTCTTGGACTTGAAGTGCCGCATCTTTGCTCTGACACACGCATGGCAATAAGGACTAGCATATCTGTGCGTCACCATGTGCTCGAGCGTATCCGCTTCGTGTTTCAAACGTCCCCTTCTTCCTTTTGGCTCCTCGACCAGCTGGTGAGATGTCTGGCATGCGCACCCTGGATGTGCCCACACATCTGTAGCAGGCGGTAGAGCATGATCACGACCCTCACAGCATCTTCATATGACGAGTCAATGGTGTGCCTGAAGCTCTTGGAGTCGTGCGCGGTGAGCCCTCAGCCAAGAAGAGCCGTCCGTGTCATTATTCGGTCAGAAGCTGCCCGTGCGTGTTGCTACCAAATTGAAAAAACAAAAACATATATTCTGAATGGCAAATGGAAGTAGGGTAATTTGCGTGTACCAACAGGCACAAATAAACTCGATCTTCTGAAACGCACAGGGAAGTCGGGTAGTTTGAGGTTCCAGGAACCCTCAAAATGACGAGCCACGCGTCCGCATTTCTCTCCGGAACCGACGGAACCCCGCCTAGGAGCCGCCACTGGCCCCGGTGACATGCGGCCACCGGCTGCCCGCTGAGGCCCAGCGAGCAACGCAAAGGCACCAAGTCCGCCTCGCGACATCGAGGCACCCGGCTGTGTGAGGTCTCACCTTGTTTGGGGTGAGACACCCCCTAGGTCCTCCAGTGGAGAGGTTAGAATAAGGGTACCCTTTGTTCTGTAGCCTATTTTAGTAGGGGAACCCTCCCCCCTAAAAGGGTAAAAGGGCACTACTGGGCGACCTAGCCCCCAAATGGCTGTGGGTTAAGAATGCGTACCAAAAATGAAACCCTGGTAAATGGAACCAAAGACCAAAACCTGCGGTCTCTGGTGGTTTTATTTTGACCCATAACCATATAGATAAATCGGATCTAGACTATGAGTTGCAAGAAATATGAATCAGAGTCAGCAAAACATGGAGTTGCGGAGCACATCAGATGGCAATATTGCCCCAATGACCTTACTGGTTGGCCAGAAACAAGTAAAATATAAAGTTCATGACCTCAGAAGGAAGTGAGCAAACCCCTGTAGAACCGGAGAATCAAAAAACACGTCTTCTGAAAGGCAAATGAAAGTAATGTTAATGTTGACCACAGATTAACAAACTCATGCATATTAATATTCCAAAAATGGTCAAAACCCAAGCTAAAACCAGGGACACACCCATGGGAGCTTATTCATCCCGGGTTGACAAAAAAATCTCACCGGCAGGTTTATTCTAAAAATGGAAATCCCCTTTTGGATGGTAGGGCCCTTTGTGCCGCCGAAATGGGTCGATCGATCATAAGCCCTGTTTCAGCTTCCCTCTAACTGGTAGCTTGGATCCCTCAACAAGAACCAGAACTTCAAATCCAAACCCAAGCCACCAATCCAAAGCACCACAGGATTCGGGGCATATCCAAACCGGACATGGGAACCCCAAAAGCCAACGAAGTCCTTGTCCCACTCTTTCCCGACGGCAGTTGCCTCTCTCTTGCTTACCCTAACCTCCATTTAGCTTGCGATAAGCCCCCCTGGGGAAAAACAAAAAACAAAAACATATTTCCGATACTTCCTTCAAAAGCCAACAGGAGGGCAATAAAAGTATTCTTACGCACATGGAGGCTTAGCAAATGAATGACTGAGAACAGCACCAAACACAAAAGACCCAAACCGATAAGACGGTCCCTTTATTAATACGGATTCGTCTCAAGATACCTTCCCCTGTCACCAAAAGGGGGGAAACCAAGCCCCAAAAAATACCAAACGCACACAAACAGCTGCTATCCTCCGAAGCCCATCCGTTTCTTAGACCCCCCACAACAAAAAACAAGCCACAGAGTGCCCCAAAACAAAAAAGCAACCAGACAAAGCACTTTCCAACGGTGTTTTGGACGGTGCTTTGGGTTTTGGACATGGTGATGGAGCTCCAAACTTGAATCCCAGAAATGGAGCCCAAGCCAGAAAACCAGCCAGTTCTCCGTGGCAACGTGAGGCTTCAAACATGTCATGGGCGTCTCAGAATAAGTTGACCTCCTTTTGAATTGTGTCATTAATCGCGCAGCTTACAAAACCAGAAACAAACAAACCCTTACACAGAGAGATGTACCCCAAAGAAAGAAACAGAAAAGGGCACCAAGATTCAACTCCCACCAGGATACCCCGCCAGACAAACAAAACACTGACCCACAGACACACACCCGCACGCACACAGGCGAGCGCTCTCGCCTCCCCAGTGCCAGTGAGATCAAAGGACTCAGACCCATTCACCTCGAAGAGGTCCTGTCAACTCTCCAGCGAGTTTGCTGCTCTCAGCTTGCTACCAGTAAGTGGCGCAATATATCCATTCTGAGAGCCGCGAAGTCTCGACGGATTTCCAACCCCAGACCTGCCAGTGGCCCCATGGGTTTCCCAGACGCTCCAGTCATCCAACTTTGGCTTGACTTAGGCCAACAACAACCAAAAGAGTTCAGGCGGTATCCCCAACAGGCTAAAGCGAAGCCCTAAAACCGAATCTCCGGAACCCTCCCTAAAAGCTGCCTCAAACCACCCCTATCTTGGGCCTATCGACCCCATGGTTCTTTCCCCCGGGAAAGGATATCGGACTTGCACCCTGCGGCTGGTCCTCTTTTTTCCCCTCATCCCCACTCGCTGGTTGATTTTGATTGGGGGGTGTCCCCTAGTTCGACGATGGTTCGTCACTTTTGGACGGACGAATCGCACGTGGGGTCAACACAATCCGCTCCTTCCAGGCACTTCCAAGTCGTTTGCCCAAGAAGGGCTCCAGGTCACCGCAGAGCAAACGGCACCCCCCCTCCACGCCTCGAGAAGGCGAAGG